ATATAGAGAGAGAGAGAGAGAGAGAGAGAGAGAGAGAGAGAGAGAGAGAGGAATAACAAAAAGATAAAAATAAAAATAAAAAGAAAAGAAAAAGAGAGGAGATAAGAGAGAAGAGAGAAGGATCAATCTAAATGATGAAGTCCTAGCCTCTTTTAGTTAATATAAAATAATTATAAGTATTTATTTTAATAATTAATTAAATTATATTGTGGTTTGTGGTATACTGCATTATTTGGATATGCGGAACCACAACCGCAACTGTATTTTGCGGTTTCGTGATAAGTCGGTTTAGATGCGGTAAAACCTCGATTGGTATTTGCGATTTTTCAATTTTTCGGTCTAAAATGCAAGCCCTATTAGCAAGGTAGTTAACAATTGGAACTCTTCCTCTTGGATTGTGAATTAGAGCTCCGTCTTAAGTCTCCCCTAACTAAGCAATGACCCTATTACTGTTAATCCTGTGGGCTTCCACAACTTCAGGCTCTCTCAACAACAAAGCAACTAGACTAGACAAAAATAAAAATCAACGGCCCAAGGTGAGTCCAAGGCCCAAAATTAGAACGAAAAACTATCAGCTTCGATTAATAAGAGGGAAAATGATGTCGTTTTGATCCACTGCCAACCAAGAAGAAAAGATCTAAGGGCCATACTTTTCAGTGCACCAGCCAAGAACAAAAAAGAACAAACAGTGAATGAAGTACTTCTTATGAAACTGCATTTCACTTCAATAAGAAACAAGTCATAGTTTAGAATGATTTACGTTTATGCGAATTCGTTACGCATATGCCCCATCAACTTTGGGGTCTGTCCTATGTTGCCCCCTGAAAAATTGAATCACATTGCCCCCTAGATAATGACTCCCTGCATACCTATGCAGATTCATGATATTTACTACCGATTCGTTGTCTTCGTATGATTCCTTCGGAAACAAGGTTGTGGATCTCATAGATTATCAAACAGGCAACAATTTCCAAATCACATTTCTACTTACGTTTGTTTGGTAATAAAATGCTTTCGCATCTGTGCTCTTACTTTCTTAACCAATCCATCTGTCATTTCTTTGATTGTATGAGTAAGCACGTATGCATGTATGCATCCAAATGCAAAGCCAAAATCAATCACAAAATTACTAAGCAGGCAAGTATAATATTTCCGAGCTCATAACAAGGGAACATCTAGAACTTGAGACAAACCTATCAAAATGTTGCAGAAAAATTAGCTGAATCTTTTCTCAACACTAGTCTTCTCGCCTGGTAATGACCTCCCCTTGCTTTGAGAGAAATTCGATCTCTCTCTTGAAATTGGACGGATATTATGCCTAACATCAGTTCTTGTTCTTCTAGAAGTGTCTGAAGAGACCGCATCCCTGCTCTTACCAGGGTGTTCTCCACCTGCCCTTCCCCTTTGAGCATTTCTAAAAGGTGCTTTCACATCGAAATCAGATTTCCTATCTCTTCTTCCACCTGACCTTCCTCCTTCAACATTTCTGGAAGGTGTTTTCCCATTAAAATCAGAGTTTCTAGCTTTTCTTCCATCTGATGTTCCTATTTCAGCATTTCTGGAAGGTGTTTTCCCATTAAAATCAGAGTTTCTAGCTTTTCTTCCACCTGATGTTCCTCTTTCAGCATTTCTGGAAGGTGTTTTCCCATCAAAATGAGATTTCCTACCTCTCCTTCCTCTGTTATTAATACCACGTTTTTCAATGCTTGTCTCACTCTGATCTTCATCCTCTTCATCACTGTCATCGTCATACAAAAATTCAGTATCAGATGAATCACGCAACTCGCCTTCCTGCTCTTCCTCACTTTCATCGTCCTCCTCTCCTTCGCCTTTTCCTTTAGGAACATCAACTACTGCCTTCTTTTCTTGAGTACTTCCACCGGGCACACTTATCATTTTACCATCTTCCTTTACTGTGTTCATGAGGTGAATATACTGGCTTCTCATATTCATTAATTGATGATTCTCAATAATCGTACCCCTCTTATATCCCTCTCTCAAAACAACAGTATAAGTTCCTATCTTGTTTGACAAATAAAATATACCTGGATGGTGAAGCAATGCTTGCTTAAACCTCGACCGAAGACCCAAATGTTCTCCAAGACACAGCAAATTCTCCCTGTCTGTCTTCTTGGGAACCAAAACATGCAGAAGCTCGTGCAGAATTGCTACCACCCACTTATCTGATTCGTCACTCTTAGACGAAAGATGAGCTGCATTTTCATATGGAGACACATAAGGCAACTTCTGCCACTCATCAATCCACTTCTTCAACTTCTTATCCATCTCAAAACCTCTGGAGAACTGCATAGGAAAAACACATTGCTCTTCCTCCTTAGAAGGCGAATCCCCGCTCAATGCCCTCTTCTTCTTAGCTGAAGCCTTCTTCTCCTTAGCTGCAGCGTTCTTCTCGAAAACCGAAGTTGCCATTTCATTTCTCCAACATACCAACTCCAAATCCCGCAAATCCTTCGACCCAGATGCCGAATTTTTGCCAACAACAATATTAAAATAGTCCGGATACTCAGAGACTAAGCTTTTCTGATAATCATGAGGAAGACCCAGATCCCATTTCAAGTGTTCGATGACATTTAGCGGCAATTTATTGGTTCTTACCAGCATCAAGAGCTTCAAAAGCCGGTCAGCGACATCCTGCCTGTAGCTCTCACTCTGATACATCAGCTCCTCCTCGGCGTCGAGATCGAGCACTTGGCCAGTGAGCCGGACATGAGGCTGGATTGCGCCGCCACCGGTAAGGAACTCCTCGAAAATCGAAGGGTATTTGCGGATGAAATCGATGGGGCGCGTGGGTATCATAAGGGATTCTCTGTTTTGGGCGATGATGGAAATGGGGAGGGACTTGGACGGCTCTGATTTGATGAAATTCTTGATGTTGACCATTGGCCTGAGGTTCTTCTCCCTCTCGACGGCGTGGTCGAGGCCTCGATCTCGGACCCATTTGGTGGTGGCGTCTACGAAGAAGGTTCTGTGGCGGCTATGGCTGTGGTGGGAGGACTGAGAGTGTGGTTTTGGGAGAGAGCGAAAGGTGAAGTAAATGGGAGACATCGATTCGTCGCTCTTTGTGAACTAGGAGGGCGAGGGTTTAAGGAGGGTTTTGCATTGTTTACTCTACTTCATGAGTTTCCAGTGCACCTTTTTAGTTTTTTTTCTTTCTAATTTTAATCTAAGGCGTGTATGTGATTTTTAAAAAATTATTTTGAGATAAATAAATTTTGTGCATTCAATTAACACTTTTAAACAATCCAAATAAGTCTCGTGGTGTTTTATTAAGGTTATTAGGATTTTTAAAAGAGACTGTGGTATTCAATCAAGACTTTAAACAAGTAACAAAAAGTCTCATGGTATTCAAAAACTTGCTAACTTCCTTTGTAAGACTTTTTAATGGGAGGTATAAATACCAAACTCGATCTCAAATCCCACCCTAATCCATCAGATTTTTCAAGTGGGATTTTTTGTTCTCTGCTGGAAAAGATGAACAAACATGCTTATCAAAATTTCTCCGAAGCTAGATTTTCTCGGAAGCTAGGTTTTCAGTTGAAACTATACAAGCAATGCAATCGATTGTTGTCTCTCTCTCCAACTATCTAATAAGACCCACTAACCACGTCTTCTATTGGTTTCTCAAAAGCTACAATTCTTGGGCTTTGGCTATACGAAATGCTTCTTCCACCCCCAAAAAAAGCTTTACACATATACTCTCAAAAGCACAGTAAATCTGTTCCTTTTGATAGTTTTTCCATGCTCTGTACGCTAAAATCATGTACCCAAATAAGGAACCATGAAATCATTCAACACCTTGATTCCCATATAATCAAACTTGGGTTTGGTAATCATGTGTATGTGGCCACTTCCCTCCTCCACGCGTGTTGTTGTTGTTTCGTTTGTGGATGCCTGTGTACTATTCGATGAAATGCCTGAGACGAACACTTCACGTGGAACACGACGATTGCAGGGTATTTGAGGTTGGTGAATGTAGAGAGACACGTTTGGTTTATGAGGAAATGCCACTGAGAGATGTTGCATCATGGTCTGCCATGATCACTGCGCATGTGTACAATGGCAATGAAGACCATCTTTCGGGATAGGGTCATGGATGAAAGTTTAAAACCTGACCAAGTGACTGTAGGCTCAGTTTTTCGGGTTGACTCTCAAAGTTCCCACCCATTTCTTGGATTGGTGTCTTGTGCACAATTTGGGTGGTGGGTTGTGTGAATCTTCACATTTTAAATTCATGAACTCTGAGTAGTTTCTGAAACAGTTCTGGGGTTTCGAGAAAGCCCTTTCATTTATAAACTTGGAGGGAGCTATATATATACTTGTCATGTTTGGTAGTGCAAAAGTGGCTTGAAATTGTCCTATTGAGATTGTATGATTGAGCTTGAAGCATCCTTCGGAAATATAGTATGAGGTTTGGTATAGATGGGTAGGCCATTGGTTTTTGAGATCTTTGAAGAACCAGCTACAAGTTGTTTTGATAGGAATATGCAGTTCAATTTGGTTCAAGATACAGAAGAAAAACATTGGGTATTCACATGTGGGCTTGAGTTATGAAACTGCCATTGCAGGGCACCATTGGAAGATTGTAACTTTAGCTTTTTCTAATATAAGCATTCTTCATCTTGTTTTCAATATGAGTGCACTTTGGAGTCTTGGGGTAGTAGAAAAGTTGGGGCCTCTAGGTCTCGGGTGGAATATTATTTGCAATACACACCTATTTTGGTTGTACTATTCAGAGCGCTAGTTAAATCCATGTGGTCCTTTCAAATCTTAAATAAATGATGTTATGCTAAAGAAGCTCCGGTCCTGTTTGGTATCCTACTCAAAAAGTAAATTCAAAAACTAAGATTCTTTTTTAAAAACATGAGTTTTCAAATAGTGATTTTAAGATATACAAACTTTTTACCTCTCTCTCTCTCTCTCTCAAATTGCTAAACTTGTGAAGGCTCAGCTCACATGCCACAATTTCTTCAAGCCAAGTCCCTTATTAATTTGTCACGTTTATTTGGTTATTGGTGAAAAGAACCTAAAAGTGTTTTTCTAAGGTTTTAGCAAGCCTTTTAAAACTCTTTTGGGAGCTTGGTTCTTGAACTCCGGCATCGGGGAGTTTTGTTTGTCTTCCTCTTACAGCAGCCCAAGCCCATTCGTCAGGCTTCTAGAACAAAAAGACCCCTACAGGTTGTAAAGTAGCAGTTTGTGCTTTCTCCTCCCTTCTCCATTTTCGTATTAAAAGTGCTTTTCAACCAAAAAAAATTAAAAACCCAATGGGGATTGGGAATATAGTAGATGAATATTCACTTAGACCATTTGTTAGGATTGCATCGAGTATGGTGGAGAGCAAACTTGTTGTTAGGTTAAAAGAACAAAAATTTGTAAAAGTGTCTTATACTTCAATGCAGATAGTTATAATTTTGTTTATATGTTAAACAAATATCACTCAATTGTCAATATGTTGGTGATGAAATATGTTTAAATAGTGAATAGGAATGAGAAACTCCTATAATGAATATATTGTTATATAACTAAGGGAAATTGTAGAGAGAATTGGAAAGTAGAGAAAGACAATATAATTTGTGTCAATCAACTTGTATCTCTCATCTTGATAAGACCTCTTATTTATAGGCTTACAATGGTAAGAATACATTAACAACTCATAAATTACAAGCCCATTACTATGGTATTTAGTGTATAGGTTACATAGAATTAGAAAGGGTGAATGCTAAGAGGTATGGTGGTCATCCACTAACTCATGCATTTACAACACTCCCCCTTGGATGTCCACTATACAATTGACATAGTTGCCTCATTAAAAACATTGCTAAGAAAACCCAGTGGGACAAAACCTAAGCAAAGGGAAAAAGAGTGCAACATTCTTATGGATCATTGATATGGTGTTGGACGCGCTTATGCTGCCTCGTTAAAACCTTTATAGGAAAAACCCGGTGGGAAAAAAACCTAGTCGAAGGAAAAAGAGTACAGCACGCTGATCGGTGCATAATTACATATCATTTTGTACCCTTCTAACTTATGATTTGGTTATGTTTTTGAGTTAAACTTGTGCTTTTAATATTTT